CACCCTTTTTAATGGTGCTATTTGGGTTTTTTTGTTATTGTTTGAGTTCCTTGTAAAATTCTGGATATTAGTGCCTTGTCAAATGTATAGTTTGTAAATATTTTCTACCATTCTGCAGACTGTTCACTGTGTTGATTAGTTGACTATTTCTTTTGCTGTTCAGAAGCTTTGTAGCTTAATTAAGTCCTGTTTATCTTTTGTTTTAGGGGGTTTTTTTGGAAAGTTTTTTTTTTTTTGGTTTCTTTGATTGTTTTTTTAGAGGCAAGGTCTCACTCTCTTACCCAGGCTTGAGTGCAATGATGCAATCGTAGCTCACTATAACCTCAAACTCCTGTGTTCAAGTGATCCTCCCACCTGAGCCTCCTGAGTAGCCAGGACTACAGGGGCATACTGCCATGCCAGGCTAAAATAAAATAAAATTTTTTTGTAGAAACAGGGTCTCTTTAATATATTGCCCAGGCTGGCCTTGAACTCTAGGCCTCAAGTGATCCTCCCACCTCAGCCTCCCAAAGTGCTGGGATTGCATGCATGAGCCATTGCACCTGACCACTATTTTTGTTTTTGTCTCCTGTGCTTTTGAGGTCTGAGTCATGAATTCTTTGCCCATCCAATGTCTAGAAGAATATTCCCCAGGTTTTCTTCTAGTAGTTTTATATTTTAAAGTCTTACATTCAAGTCTTTAATCCATCCTGAGTTGATTTTTGTATATGGTGAGGGATAGAGGTTTAGTTTCATTCTTCTGCATGTGGCAATCCAATTTTCCCTGCACCATTTATTCAAAAGTGTGTCCTTTCCCCGGTGTATGTTCTTGTTGACTTTGTCAAAGATCAATTGGCTATCAGTATGAGGCTTTATTTCTGGGTGTTCTCTTCTGTTTTATTGATCTCTGTGTCTATTTTTATGCCAGTACCATGCTGTTTTGGTTACTATAGCCTTGTAGTATAATTTGAAGTCAGGTAATGTGATGCCTCCAGCTTTGTTCTTTTTACTTAGAATTGCTTTGGTTATTCAGCTCCTTTTTGGTTCCATCTGCACTTTAAAATTTTTTCCCAAGGATGTGTATATGTTGCTCATTAAATAGAACATTTAAATGAATCTTCTGATTTAAAAGGATATGTTGAAAACTAATTTTTTAAAAACTCAAATACTCTATGGGCCAAAGAAAATATAGCAATTTTGGACCATGGACCATATAGCCCACAGCCTTATCTGTGCCCAGTGGGTGGCTTTGATGGGTTTGAATCAGGTGAGAATGATTGGCCCATAGAGAGTGGAGTAACAACTCCTACTCACAGACCAAGGGACCAGTTGTTGGCTGGGTAATAGTCCAGACAAGAAAGTAAGAGGACCTCGGTGGGCACGATGGCTCATGCCTGTAACCCTAGCACTTTGGGAGGCCAAGGCAGAAGGATGGCTTGAGGCCAGGAGTTTAAGACCAGCCTGAGCAAGAGAGAGACCCTGTCTCTATAAAAAATAGAAAAGTTAGGCAGGCATGGTGGCACATACTTATAGTCCCAGCCACTTGGAAGGCTGAGGCAGGAGAATTGCTTGAGCTCAGGAGTTTGAGGTTTCAGTGAGTTGTGATGACACCACTGCACTCTAGCCTTGGTGACAGAATGAGACCCTGTCTCAAAAAAAAACTCAAGGTGCCAGCAGTGGGGATGCAAAGAAATCGGCCATTTGTTCCTGATAGAAGGTGCAGGCCTGAGCACTTGGAACAGGGACCACCATGGGCCAAGGTCACCAGAACCTGACTCTCACACTCAGAACCAGGGTCAAGGCAGTTTTGAGGGTTGCTGAGGTTTAGTTAGGGACTTTAAGACACCTATCTTTCTATTACCATTTAAGACACTTGAGACTGGTGCTTCTCAAAATGTGGTTCCCCAGCAACAGCAATATCACCTAGGAACTTGTTAGAAAAGCAGACTCGGGGCCCTCCCCAGACCTACAAAATGAAACCTTCTCGGGATGGTCCCAGCAATCTGTGTTTTATCAAGCCTGCAGGTGATTCTGAAGGACACTAAAGTTGGAGAACTTCTGCTCTATAGCAAACATGACCCAGTTATTTCTTAGGACTCGGTTCAATCTATCATGTTCCCACTTTTAGAACAATCTGCACTACACAAGAAACTATGTTAAAGAAGCATAGCTTTATAGCCTGAAAATCATCAGGGAAAATCCAGTGTTTGATTGATCCCAGCTAGCATGCTCATTCACACAGCACTTCTGTGCATCCTCATTACCTTCTTTTTAATAAGCCAAACACTGAGCCTCTCAAACGCAGCAGTTCTTTGCCTGAAGAAGATTTACTCCTGGTGCTAAAATATGCAGTCCTGTATGGTCAAAAGCAGTCATAGAAAAGAAAATCATTCCTAATTAATTAACACATTATTTCCAATTCCCTCCATGAAAAATGTAGGAGATATGTCTCATTTTTCCAATCCCTCTCTTTTTCCCCATAGTGTTTAACAGAAGTGCCCTAAAATTGGGAAGCCCATGCCTTGCCTTCAAGGCAATAAAGAAAGCAGGAGTTGTGAAGACTCTGGAAGCTGGTTTGGTGATAGCAGCATCAGAAAGAAGAGGGAAGCAGGCAGAATATGAACAAAATATAAGCAAAAGAAAGACAAGCAGCCAGGCTGGATCTTAAGAAATGTCCGAAGGGGGTTAATGAACTCTATGGGCTGGGCATAGTGGGTTCTGCAACTCTTGTTTTATTTAAGTCTTTCGGACCAGACATTGACTCACTCCAGGTGAATTTTGAGAAGTCATTGAATTGTTCTCAGTTCAGCTTTCACATTTGTAAATGGGATGTGGGAGTGAATAATGCCTAATTTTTTAAACAGTTAAAAAAAGTATGTATAGAAGAACAGGCTCTGTGCTTGGCACATAATTGGCACTCATCTGTGTTACATGTTTTCTAGCCCCTTTGATGGGCCTTCTCCTGTCTTCTGTCTCAGGTGTCTCAGCGGTTGGGAGATTCTCTTGGGATGCAGTTGACTTGGAATTTTATGTTTTATTTTTTTAGGCCCCTACAGATGGCTTTGCCCTTTCCGTTTACAGGCCTTTCTGTAGAACTTGAAATGAGATGCCTTCCCACCTAATAGTCATATTATGAAGCTCTAATGAGGGAAACATGCTCAAAAGTGCTCTATAAACATGTGTAAGATGTGTTTAGTTGCTTACTATTTGCTCGTGTGAACATTTCAGAGATTCAGAGGTAGAAATGGAACTTGAACCTTGGGTTGGTTTTGTTACCGAAAACTGGGCACTTGTACAAGTGGCTGAATCAGAAAAACGAGGACAAGTGTTTTTGGGAGGAGGAAAGAGATTACTTTGCTGACAAAGGAGGAAAAATGGCAGACCTTATAGTCTCAAAATCCAAATTTCCTCCACATAGGCAGAAATACAGAGCTTTTAAAGGGAGGGCCTTCAATTCTAGGCTATTGTGGTTAACGATTCTGATTGTCCCATCTCCGCCAAAGACAAAGCCTGTGAACTCCTGAGATGGAGCTATCTCTTTTAACAGAGGACTTAACCTGCCTCAGGGATGCAGGCTGCAGTTCCCAAAAAGAGTGGGGGAAGTTTTTTAAAGAGGCAGAAAATCTTTTTTTTTTTTTCCTTCAGGCCCTTCCCTCTGTTACAGGCTCTCTGATGGGAAAAAGCTCAGGCCCAGCCAGCTCACCAATCCCAGCCTCGTCTCACTCTGGGTCTTTATTATGGAATGAAACTCTAAGGGACAGAAACCTGCCAAAGAGTTTGGCTATCTCTTATCTCACTTGATGCCAAGCCCTCTTCCATGTGTCTCCTATGTTGGTTTAAGCAGCCAGTGTCCCTGAAATGTACTCACACTTGGGCCTCAGGGCAGATATACCAAGATTTGCTGGCAAGCTGCAGCCCAGCTGGCAGACGTACCAGCGGCACCTGCTTCAACATGAGGTGATACAATAATTCCTTTGTACTCCCCTGGGGCTGAGGCTGTGAATCCTAAAGACACCTGAGTCATTCTTCCTGGTCTCATATGAGGCAGGTTGATGGGAATATCCAATCACAACTCAGAGCATCAAAAGTACTGAGAGAAGGAAGAGACTACAATCTACAGGGAGACTTTGAACAAGAGATTATGGAGTTTTCCATTTTTCTCTTCCTCAGTACATAGTATCTTCTAAAAAGTGGACACTGTGTGGATTTGCTTTAACACTCAGATTTTAAAAATTATTTTCTTCAATCATACAACACATGCAAAGGTAAATAGGAAGAGTTATTCTGCCTTCAAATAAATCCTCAAAATCATTTAGTAATAAAAATCTCCTAGAAGAGAATGGGAGGCAGGACTCCAGCTGTTTTGATTAACCTATTAACATATATTGAGCAATATTGAAAAATAAAATGTCTTAACAGCCTGGTTTGCTAATACCTACCAGACTACAGGTAATCCATCCACATTTGTGCTCTGAAATTTCCCAGGAAGGCAATCAATTAATTAAGAGAGACCTTGGAGTAGCTTCTTAATGCCATGTTCAGACACCTACTTAATAAAGAGTTTCCTGGAAATCCCTAAATAATAATAAAAAGCAGAGATATAGCAGCTCAACACTACACTTCACTAAATGGAAACCAATTATAATTATAACAGTAAACATCTATTGACCTATCATTCTATTGCCTTGGGCCCTGCTTTAATAAATACCTTTTGCAAATTTGAATGTAAAAAGGCATTGTTTGCATACATAGTTACAAAGGGCCTTTAATGTTTAACTAATTGCATTTGTTGATTTCCAGTTTTCTGAAAAGCAGCCCTCCCGCCCACTAGCAGATCCTCTATTACTGGGAAAGACATTAGGCTGCTAGAAGCCTCTTTTAATCAATAGTTGCCCAGTGAAATCACTGTCTTCCTTGCCTGTAGCTGGAGAAATAACTGTGATTCAGCATGTTTGTGTTGGAATGTGAATGCCCATTTCAATGCTTGTTTTGCTTGTCTCCCGTTTTCCTTGTTCTTACAGATTTTTAAAAGCATTGGCTCTGATGAGACTGTCCCAGGGCAAGGAAGTCGGAGGCTGATCAGCTTTTCTCTCTCAGGTATGTTCTGGTCACCTAGAGGCCTTGAGGAGAGAATAAGAATGGCAACTAAGAGTTAGAAGACCTGCTTCAATTTGACCCTTAACTACAAGTTACTCAATCTCTCCATGCCTCAGTTTCTCCATCTGTAAAGCAAAAGTTTTAAAAATCTTAATTCCTCTTGACCTTATAAGGATAACAGAGAATTCAGTAAGTCATAGATGCAAAAGCCCTTTGAGATGATGGGAAGAGAGGCTGCTACCCTACTTTTCCTGCAGAGCCAAGTGGCCCAAGTGAGAGTATATAAAGGAAAGGTTGGGGGAAGCTGGGGAGAGAAGCAGCTACCCAACCCTTTGTCGAAACAAACCTTCATATGGAGCCCAATGGATAAAACAGATAAAAACTGAGCTGCTCAAAGAGCACATTCATGAAAAAGAAAATCAGTGGAATCCAATTACAGTCTGTTAATTAATAGTATCTTAGTTTAATAGTTACGAGTAAGTGAAAGTTTTTGTTTCCATGAATGTACCATGGTTCTGTAATATGTTAGCCATGGGGAAAACTGGGTCAAGGGTATGTGGGAAATCTTTGTACTATCCTTGAAATTCTTCTGTAAATCTAAATTTACTCCAAAATTAAAAGTTTAAAAGAAAAATTGAGCAGTTTTGACTAAAATGGTATACAAAGCTCAGAGCTTGACTCACTCAATCCCACCCTAAGTGGTCTTTAGGAGGACACAAAGGCATGAAGCCTGAGGACCCTATTGAGCACGTGAAAGCTGCTACCTTAGTTTGCAAACCAACAAATGTTGCCGGCCATGAGTGCCCGGGATCAGAGCTCACGGGCATGAAGCACACAAGCCTCCTTGGGGGATGGACAGTCAACTGGGGCTTTTCAAGCCTAAGTGAACCCAGTGAAGCAAATGTGTGTCTAAAGATCCACTGACAACTTTAGCGTGTGCCTGCCTATGTTGAAAGAAAAAAAGAAGAAACGCAATGATTTGTATTACTAGGGCAAAAGCTAACAACTCCTGCTTTGCCCTTCTCAGGTTCCTGGAGAAATAATATTTATTAGTACCAACTACAACAACAGTAGAAACCAGGAATATTACACAACTATGTGTTCACTAACAAAGCTCCAGTGAAGTCACAAAGCCTAAGACGGGTGCTAAGTTCAGGGTAGGCAGAGCGGGGAAGGGACAAAGTTTTTATTCCTTGGGCCCTGTTTAGCCTCTGCCATGTAGACATGTGCTCACAGACCTACCAGAGGAAAGGAGACTTCCCCTGTTTCAGCCCAACCAGGTTCATTGCCCACTGCTCAAGAGGAAGCCAATGCACTGAGACTGCAGGGTCATAGCAGAGAAAGAGTTTAATATCACAGGAGCCATGCAAGGAGGTGGGCGGAAGTTCTCAAATCTGTCTCCCCAAGAATTTGGGAGAAAGGGTTTTTAAAGATAGTGTGGTGGTTGGAGGGCTAGGGAATTGGGTCTGCCGATCGGCTGGGGATGAACTCAAAGGGTTGGGAAGCAGAGATCATCTTCTCAGTTGAGACCCCCCTGGTCTGAAGGCTGTTGGATCCATTCCCACGCCTACCACAGGTCTGGTTGGCATCACTGAGTCCTCCCAGAATGCAGAGTCTGAAAAATACTTCAAAGACCAGTCTTAGCCTTTATAATAGCAATGTTATCTAAAGAAGCACAAGTCTTTGGGCTTCACAATGGCAATGTTATCTATAGAAGTGGTAGGGGGTGTCTCAAATCTTGCATCTGTCAGGAAGGATACATGCCATTAAGCAGTAACCAGTTACAGCAGTAAGGAAGTTAGGAAACAATGGCTGGTTAACTTCTGGCTATATCTATACTTTTATAAAAATCAGACTTTGATTACTATTTATACCTTACGGCTCTACATTATTTTAATATAGACAGTTTCACCCCCACCCCAGCTTGGCTCACAAAGCTACTTTCTAAGGTGATCGGGGTTGCTTCATCTCCTATAGTCTCCCAATATGTCGTTTTTCTTATGCTTATTCCAAGACAACAATCCCCAGCAACAGAACGTGACCAGGGATATAAAGTTAGCAGCTAAAGGAGCAAGCCTGGAATGGTCACGGAAGTATAATACTTAGCAGTTTGATGTGTATATGTGTATTTAATTCACTGTGTCTGTCTAGGAAAAAAAAAGTAAATACTGCTAAAAATATCAAAATAAGTTCCATGCTCCAAAGGAAGACAAGATAGAAAGATCAAATATATACCAAAGCAAAGCCCACAAAATATCAAAAATTGACTCGGTGCTGGTCAGCTCTGAGTGTAAAAGCAGAGGCAGGGTTCCAACAGAGGCAGCTGGACAACCAGACTAACTAAAGAGGGACAAGCACTGGGACTACAAGACCTGTTCGTGGATAAATAGTAGAAATTCTGACTTGAAGTATGCCTGGAGAAAAGATTCCACCCAATTAAAAAGTTGAAGAACGTAACACTCAAGAGAAAAAGAAAGTATCCTGTTGACAGATATCTACTAAAGAGAAGTAAAGTATTTGTCACTCATCTGCTTGTACCCTCAATAAAATACAGGAAAGTACAAGACATATTAAGTAAGAGATCTGGGATGAGAAAGGATGATAAGGGAGTTCTTTAAGCTATCAAAAATAAAAACTTAGAGAGTCAAGTCTATTTGTTTCCTATTGCTGCTGTAACAAATTACCACAAACGTCGTGGCTTAAAGCAACACAAATGCACTCTTACTGATCTGGAGGTCAGAAGTCCAGAATGAAACTTAAGGGACTAAAATCAAGGCATGACCATGGCTAGTTCCTTCTGGGAGCTCCAGTGGAATCCACTCCTTGCCGCTTTCAGCTCCTAAAGGCTGCCAGCGTTTGGCTTGTGGCTGCCGTACTCCTGTCTGCACTTCGTCATCACATTGCCCTCTCCCCACTTTGCCCTTCCTGCCTCCATCTTCTAAGAACCCCGTGATTACGCTGGGCCCAGCCATAGTCCAGGGTAATCTCCCCACCTCAAGATCCTTAACTGAATCACGTCAGCAAAGTCCCTTTCACCATGTAACGTAACATATTCACAGGTTCCAGGGATTAGGACATGAACATCTTTGCGGCGCCATTTTTCTGTCTACCACAATCAAGGATGGATTTAAGACAAACTCTAAAAGGTGCGATCATAGAATTAAAAGTGAGCATCAGAAAGCAGCATAGAGCACAATCACCACTACAGAACTGGAACTAGTGACCTGCAGGCTGCCTTGAGAGTCCTCCCAGAAGGCATGGATGAAGGGCCAGACACAGAAAGGGTGAGAGGAGAAAGGATGGATGATACCCACAGAGCCAACACATGATCAATCCGTGTTTTTTGATGAAGAAATCAGAACAAATTGAACAGAGACAGTAATAGAAGAAAACTTTGAGCTGAAGATAAATTTTGAGTCTTTAACTTAAAGAAGACCATCAGATGCTAAGAAAAAATAATATATGTAAAGAGACCAACACCCAGAAAAATCTTTTAAAAATTTTTTCAAATAAAGCCACCGTAGATATCTGGGCTGAAAAAGCATGATACTTACAAAAGAACAAACCTCATGCTAATATCAAACTTGCCCCCTGAGATGCCAGAATAATGAAGCACAGCCTATAGAATTTTGAACATAGCGTGTTTTACCCCAAGATCACTGTGTCCACCAGCTTGTCATTTATGCGGGAAGGCAAGAGGAGCATATTCTCAGGTTTGCAAGGGCTCAAAGAACACCACCCTTGCAGCTACCTGAAAGTAATGTGTGAGCATGTACTGCAGCATACAGAGAGAAAATCCAAGAAAGTTCAAGAAATGGAGACTCTTCAATATAAAAGGACAGATTTTCTGTTTAGGGTTTAAAATGAGAAATAACCAGACAGGTAGATAATGGAATTGCCTTCTCTAGAAAGCTTCAAGAGTGCCATGAACATATCAAAGCCAGATTGTTTATACAAATGCTTTACTTCCAAATCGATTCATATTTTCTGTTTTTACCACTTCTTGGAGGTAATAAATTTCCCAGGTATTATTCCTTTAATTTCCAATCTATTACACCTTTAGTACTGTAAGTTAAAAACAATCATAAATGCAAATAGAGATTTAATCACAAACATACAAAATTAGGGACTAGCTAAATAAATTGCCATTGAGCCAAATGATTAAATACTATATACTGTTAAGAATTACACATACAAAATGTTCTAAAAGGCATGAGAACATCCTTATGATATTATCGGGGAGGAAAAATAATTTTTCCTCTATGCTTCATGAGTTCTTAGCTGGGGACTCCCTGTAACTTTAAAAGACAAATTAACAAGAGAAAAATAAACAGAAGTTTATTAACATGTGTATGTATTGTATACATGGGAGGAAAAATGAGTAAATCTCTAAGAGGTGGCTTAGAATTCTGGCTTATATAGCATCTTTTAAAAGAACAATGCAATTTTGGAGAAGTGACAAGACAAAGGAAAAAAACCTTGAATCTCTAGGGACAGAAAATTGTGGGAAAACTATGGTAGATAAATGCCTGTTAGTAAAGTTCATTATGCAGATTCCTTGGTGCCATCTCTTGGTTGGTAAGAGTCTGAAGTCAGCTCTGGTGATCAACCTTCAGCCCCCCTGGTAGAGAGAGGAGGAGGGACACCTTCATAAATGTATGCCCTGCCTTTAGGCAAATAGGGAAAGGACAGAGAGCTTTTCTTGTATCTGCTTCTTCTCAATTCCTTTCAGCTCAAAATAATCCTTATGCCAAAGTGACATATTTTTAGATATTGTATTCTGGTCTCTTACATATAATAGGGTGGCATATTCTGGTCCTCTACATATATAATTCAAGGCAAAAGAAAAAATATAGGATGCATTGTTGAATATAGAGTATGGTCACAACTATGCAAAGAAAAATACTAGAAGAAAATAAGAAAGAAGTTTGGCCAGGGTTGCCACTGGAGGATACAATTTAAAATAATTTTAAAATTCTGTTTCTTTTCCTTCTATATTTAAAAATGTTATAATAAATGTGCACATGTTCATCATCAGAACACAAAATAATACAGGCGAAAGTGGGAGAAAATTAAATATCATTTGTTTTTGGAAAATCATAGAACTCTTGTGCTCTTATAGACATCCCTCCCAACAATGTCACAGTTGAAATAATTAAGATCTGAAAGAGTTAAATTGATTTACTGACAGTTACAAAGTTCAATAGTGAGTGCTCCAGAACTAAAATCTAGGTAAAATGACTCCCAGTTCAGTGCACTTTTAATTTATACCTCTTATTGCAGCAGTTTTCAAATACTCTTACTCCATGAAACATATATTTCAGTAAGTATCCAGATCGAACTTAAATGTAAGCCCTTATAGAGAACAGCATAAAAGTTTACTGAAGCACATGAAAGAAGACTTCCCCTGGGTGGGAAGTCTCAGTTTTGTAACGCTACTAATTCTCCCAAAAGTAATGTATAAATTCAGTGCAGTTCCAATCAAAATCCCAATTTTTTGAAGGGAGTTATTAAAATTTAGTAAGATTTATCTGGAAGAATAAATGTGAGTGGTGAAGCAAGGTGTTATCATTTTCAAAAAATAAGAATAATGAAGAATTACCAGATATCAAATATTTGATAAAGATATATCGATGCAGATATAGACAAGTTGTTTGATAGAACAGAATAAAGAGTATAGAAAAAGATTCGTTTATACTTGAGCATTTGACCTATGCCAAAGTTGACATTTTTATAAAAAGATAATATAACATATTGGTTAACAGCACAGACTTTGGAATCAAAGAGACAGGTTCAAATCTTATCTCTGACATTGACCAGCCACGAAAACCTGTGAGCCTCCATTTTCTTTTTCTCAAATTGGGGGTATAATCTCTGCTTTATGGAGTTCGTAGTTGGGATTAAATCAGTTAATGTATTTTAAGTGCAAAGACTGGTTTCCAGAATTTAGGAACTAGCAATAAATGGCAGGTGATGGTAGTCATTCTTCTATGATGGATGTAGTGTATATGTCTTTCACACTTAAGGTCAGGTCCCCAGGACCACTCCAGGTTCCAGAACTTACTAGGAGAATGCACAGGACGCAGAGTCTAGCAGTACTCATGGCTGTGATTTACTACAGTGAAAGGACAACGCAAAGTCAGCACAGGGGGAAGGTGCACAGGGCAAAGTCTGCAGGAAGCCAGGAGCAAGCTGCCAAGGGGCCTCTCCCAGGAGAGCCCACAGACACGTGTCCTTCCCGCAGCACGAACTGTGCCAGCACATATGAAATGTCCACCAGGGAAGCTTCTCAGAGTCTCAGTGTTCAGGGTTTCCATCTTCTGCTTGGCATGTACCAAAATTCCAGACTCCCAGAAGAAAATCAGTGTTCATCATAAACCACATAGTTTGCACAAAGTTTGGGCACAGTGAGCCACTCTTACAGTTCTGGGGAGGTGGGAACCCCCTTGAAATCTGGCTTCCCAGACACCATAGACAAGAGCCAACCTTATAAACAGGCCTTTCTAAGGAAAGTCTCAGGCTACTATGTTAACTTTTGTCTGCACACTCCTGACTCCTAGGGCCATAGCCTGGGTGTTGCAAATTTCTGTGATGCTTGTACTTTCTGCCCTTTTTCCCTTCATGGAAGTATATTATAATGCAAGAGAGTAAGAGTAATTTCATTATGGAGATAACCTTGAATCAACTCAAAATAACTTCTGAGTAAATGTATATGAACTTTTTCATCAGTAACAAATTACTTAAACACCTCACAACTCATACCGTGATTGAGAATCAATGATTCTGTGTATCTTTATGCCTCAGTTTGTTTCACTTGTATATAAATGTGAATAATTTTGTTTGGAAAATATTTCAATAACAGAAAAGCTTTAAAAATTATCTTCCTTGGCTGGGCACGGTGGCTCACGCCTGTAATCCTAGTACTTTGGGAGGCCAAGGTGGTAGGATCACTTGAGGCCAGGGGTTCGAGACCAGCCTGAGCACAAGTGAGACCCTGTCTCTACAGTAAAATAGAAAAATCGGCTGGGTGTGGCGGCCTGTAGTCCCAGCTGCTCAGGAGGTTGAGGCAGAAGGATCGCTTGAGCCCAGGAATTTGAGGTTGCAGTGAGCTATGATGATACCACTTCATTCCAGTCCGCATGACAAAGTAAGACATGGTCTCAAAAAATTTAAAAAAATTAAAAATTATCTTCCTTGACATCATAAATATATTTCCAATAAATATAAAGTGACTTCAGATCATTTCAGAACAATTATAAACCATTGTCACAAACAGTCTTGTTCTCTTTCTCTCTCTCTCTTTCTCTCCCTCTCTCTCTCTCTCTCTCTCCATTTAGCACGAATTGTCCATGATCAGATACCTTCAGTTAAGTGGAACAGCTGGATTCTCAGGTCTTGGCCTCCCCGGCAACAGGCTTCTACGAGCTCTCCTCACTGATACGCACTTAGCCCCACAGAGGCTGTGTTTTCTGTGTTCTTTCCACCAGTGTCTATGTTCTCTGCTCTTTTAACCCTCTCCTTTCTCTTTATTTCTGCTAATTCTCTCTCTCCTTACTCAGTGAAGTCCATATTTCTTGTGAAACTACAGCCCTTGTTTTCCTTATGTCTCCACCTTGCAGAGGAATTTTAAAACCGGACCCGTCGAATATCCAAAGCTGGATTTCCTGCCTCTGTGTCCCCACCTTTCCTGAGGTGACCCTCGCCCCAACCCCTTTATCTTAACATGCCTGAGAAGCACCAGAAATGCAGTCCAGACAGGGCCGATGGGCCTCTCGTGAAAAGTGTAGCTACCTCAACGCCAGGCATTAACCTTACTAAAGCATATTTAAATGAAAATATCCTTTATCTTATAGATTTCCAGGCCATGGGGTTGAAGAAAGGGATGTTTTTCAACCCAGACCCTTATCTGAAGATTTCCATCCAGCCTGGGAAGCACAGCATCTTCCCTGCCCTCCCTCACCACGGGCAGGAGAGGAGGTCCAAGATCATAGGCAACACCGTGAACCCCGTCTGGCAGGCCGAGGTGAGTGCCGTGGGCTCTGAGAGGGCCCAGGTAGCAGATTGAACTGGCTGACCATCAACCAGCCCACGTGCTTCCCCTCCTTCCAAGGAGCCCCAGATTCTGCTGCTTAATCCGCGGCTCACACGGTCCCAGAAGGGAGCCATGTCCTCTGCTGGTTGCGACCCACAGGGATCTTGAGCAAGTCCCTCCAAACAGTACTGAGAAACTTTCATTGCAGCTGCACTCAGTAGCCCTTCTGAGTCCAAACCTGCACACGGCAGCCTTTCTCTCTGCCCTTCCTGCAGGAGAAGGAAGAGAAGCATTTCGACCCAAGCATTCCAGCTTCCCACAGCTCTTTCCACTCATGTGGTATTGAACAAGGGTGCCAAATGTCAAATGTGGCTCTCTGGACCAGTTCCAGAGATTCCAACACTATCCCATTCCTGGGACAGGTAAATCAATAAGCCTGAGAATATCCCTGATTGTGTTATGTATTGTTTAATTTAGATATGAAGCCTAATTGTTTATCCCACTCTCATGGTTTGCATGGGCTGGCCAGCTTGCTAGAGTAATGAACAGTCTGTTTTGTCTCATAGAGGCCCTTCTCCACTCCTAAATGTGTCTCCTCTGCCACCCAGGAGTTAGGAGGGTCCTCTGCAAAGTGCCATGTCAGACGCTACCTCACGGTGACTCAGGCCTCTCCCAGAGACGTCCAGGAAGTGTTCCTACCCATGTGGCTGCCTTGCTCACAGGCCTTAGCTTGAGGACATGACCTGCAAACTGGGTGGGTAGGGGCAGGGAAGCTAGAGCATGAGAATGGATGGAGTATAATGTACGGGTTACAAGTACAGTTTTGCAGTCACACAGATCAAACTTAGGTTTAAATCCCAACGTGGCCAGTTATAGTTCTGTTAATCAGAGAGGTCAGTTATCCTCAGTCTGAGCCTTGGATTATCCTCATCAGCCTGTTATTGATGGAAATGTGCTCCCACCAAAGGCACAAAGTAGATGTCTCTGATGTAGAACTTTCAAGCATCTTTGGTAAGACAATGTAATTAGATATTTCAGAGCAAAAAGTTTTTATTATCTCTTAAATTACACCACCTATCCTAGGCTTAATTAACCTTCTCCCAGGCTTCACAGAAGAGCTCCACTAGAGCTTTGAAGTAAACATTAAGGAAATAGAGTAGTACTTGAACATCTGCTAGCTTTAGTTATCCACAGATTCTGAAGCACCGATAGCACTGCTAGCATGGAATAATGAATCTTAAATTATTTATTTCTTCAGTCCTGGCCATTCTCACCAGTTATTTCTGGACTCCTCACTGTGTTCCTGGGGATAATACAAGATGCCTCAGGAATTTATATTACGTGGGGAAAAAGGCTTCTCTCTTTTGCAAACCTTTAGAGCAACTTGTTCTAAGACATTTAGTCATAAAAGTGATATAAGTCTCAGAAAACATTTGTAAAATCCAGCACTATCAGAATGTTTTTTCACTAAAATCATCAACCAGAATCCAGTTTAAGTTCTGAAATTATTTCCAAATCTTTGGTTAAGATTGATTTTGTTCTGGCAGGAGGCTGGCAAACTCCCACTAGTCCTCTGCTCTAGGCCACCTCCACTCCACCGCACGTGCTGCAGTTAGAGGTATTGATCTAAAATAAGTCTCTGCACACATCTCCCTGATAAGCCTCAGATTGAGGATAACTGATTTCTGAAGCTGAACAGCTATAACAAAGATTTGAACCAAGGTTCGTGGGGCTGCAAAGCTATCCTTGTAGCACTTAAATTATACTACAGTTCTCAGAGGCCAAATGTCAAAGTCATAGCTCTTCTGTGGAGCATTCAAGGCCTTCTTTGATTGGGCAGGGCTCACCAGTGCGTCAGTTAGGGGTGTGTTTGGCTCTAAGCACAGGAGGCCCGGCCTGCTATGGTACGTCTCACAAAAGAGAAGTCGGCAGGCAGGTGATCCAGGCAGGGCAGCTGCCGAGTCAGCCCCCAGGGCCCCCAGCTCTCTGCATCTGCCCCTGCGCCATCCTTAGCACATGGCCTCATCCTCCTGTCTTAAAGCCTCAAGCCCAAGTTCCATGTAGGAAGAAAGCAAAAAAGGCTGAAGAAGCCTTCTCCTTACAAGGCTTTGTGTTTTCATTCTAGGAGAAAAGTCTTTCCTAACTGATACCTATTAGCTGCCATTTGACCTCACCTGGATAGGAAAATGTAGTGTTTCACTCCCCTGACTCTGGTAGGGGAAGGCAGGGGAGAAGGTGGTTGAACACAGTGGACGTGTTCATGGTGTCTGTGATGTCCTCCAGCTTCTCTCCCCAAGGCCTTTCACCTCGGACCTTATGCTAAAGCCACTCTCTGTGGCTGCTGTCCCCAAATGCCCTCATGCTTCCACACAGCCATGTCTTTGCATATATTTTGTCTTTGCTTTTATCTGTCTAAAATCTACATCCCCAACTATTCCACCTAGCAGCTCCCCTCATCCGTCAGGTCTCAGCTAAAATACCACATCCATGGGCATCCTTGACTGTCCAGTCCAGGCCTCAGGAGGAAAGCGCTTCCTTGCTCAGACTCCACCACAATGTCGCCAGGTGGTTTTTTATTTGCACTTCTGTCTTCCCCACAAGAATTTGAACTCCTCAAGAAAACGAAATCACATCTAATGCATCTTGGTATCTCCAGTTCCTGGAACCTACTAATACTAGGTAATATGGGGCTTACAAAGGGCTTACTGTGCCCAGCAGTGCTCTACACATTTAAATAATCAAGTCATTGAATCCTCACAACACCCCCATGAGGAATGTACTATTACTATCCTTGATTAAGGTGAGGAAACCAGGGCACAGTTGAATAATTTTCCCAAAGTCACGCAGCTGGTAAATGGCAAAACTTAAGTTTGAACAAGGAAGTCAGCCTTCGGAGCCTGAGACTGACCAGTTTTGCTTGTAGGTGGCTGTGAATAAACTCTGGAGAAAGTATCCATAGCTTATGTCAGATACTCAAAGTGATCATCACCCTCCCCGCTTTTCATTTAAGAAACGTTTACTGGGTATCTACTCTGTAGTAGAAATAGAAGCCACTGGAAGGACACAAAGAAGATTGACAGATAAGACCCCTCGAATTAGTGAAAGGAGACAATAAATGTTCTAATCATGCTATGAACAAATACAATACAAAGGGGAGACCACCATAAGCCGGAGAAAAGACTTCACAGAAGATGTGCTGCTGGACTTGGTCTTGACAGAAGAAGACACACTTTTCAGGGTGGGAGGGGTCATTCCCAGCAGAAGGAACAGCATGTGCAAAGGTACCAAGGCATCCCACAAACATTTATGGTACTGTTTAGAAATGTTGTGTGGTTCGAGCTTGTGGTGTGCAAGGACAAGTGGCATTGATGGAGCTGGGCTTACTCCAGGTGCACACGTTTAGTGTGGTCCCCTTGTTCCTTACAAACAGAATCTGATGTTGGCTTGGGTCCCACATTGCACCTTGATGAGTGACATGATGACTCCTTGCTCCTACAGGATTCACACAAGTCTTCCAATTTCTATGTAAGAGAATTAGAACCAAACTGTCCTACTTTCTGAGTTTACTGATTAATATACAAAGGATATTCAGTGAGAAAACACGGAAGTTGCCTACGCATAAGTGCAAGAATATCCTCAACGTGTAGTTTAAATGCTAAATTTATTTCTATGGTTAATGTTGCATTAAAGTTTCATGTGACTCTCTTTAAATTCATGTAATTGCAAACTTGTAACATTGTTAGCTGATTAAAACATGTTAAATCTTAGAAAAATTAAAGTTTCTATTAGAATTTTAAGACAAGAAGGGAAAAATTAAGAGAAATACATATGAAAGGCAATGCAAATTAAAATATGTAAGAGACTTCCACACTGATTGATCAATCTCCTCTTTATTATTACTTTAATTAGAAACTCTTTTCACCCAGGGAACACTCTTTGATTTTCAGGTCTGTTTACTTTTCCAGATGGATGTAATTAGCACTTTTAAGATTATGGTTACACAGAGAAAATAAACAGAAACAGCAGTGACTAGAGTCTTAGGTTATATATTGAAAGTGTTCATGTAGAAAGTATATTTAGACCTCTAAATAAAACAAGGAACTCCTAGAAGCAGATTCTCAGAAGTATCAGGTGGATTGAGCAAATACAGCACTCTAGCCTGGGGCCATGGTGTTTGCCAGCCTCTGCCACATTCTCTCTGCCTCTGCCTTCCAAACTGCATGGATTAATCCCCATGTGTGCGCTATCTGCCTGTCACAAGACCAAAAGATTAGATAAATAGGGCCTTGCTCATGGAGCTTATACTCTAATGTGAGAAAGCAAAATGAAACAAATAAATTAACAATACAATCTCAGTGTAAAATAAGTATCATGAAGGAAATCTCACATTGCTATAGGATGTGCATGACTGAGTGGGCTCCCTTAGACAACGGTAGTAGTCCAGGGAGGTCTTTCCAAGCTGCCGTCACATAAACTAAGAAGCCAGACATTCAAAGACCTGCTTAGATCTGTGTTTCAGACAGAGTGCAGCTGTGTAAAGGCCTGAGTGTAAGAATCTTGGCATGTTTAAACAAGCAAGAAGGTCATCGTGGCTCGAGTAGAGTGAGTGTGGGGGAAGGGGTAGCGTAGGAGAGGGTGCCGGGGAGAGGCGAGGCCAGCACCTTGTAAGTGTGGAGAGGAGTTGGTGTTACCGAAAACTCAGCACTTGTCCACGAGGCCAAATCAGAAGTACAAGGACAAGTGGTTTGGGGAGGAGGAAAGGGAAGTTTTATTACTTTGGTGGCAAATGAGGAAAAATGGTAGACCTTCTCATCTCAAAATCCAAATTTCCTGAGCATTCACAGAAATACAGAGCTTTTAAAGGATGGGTTCTCAGCTTCAGGAAATTGCTGTTCAACTACAGTTGATTCTGATTATCCCATCTCCTCCTGAAGGTAATCTCATGACCTCCGTCCAGGACCTCCCTTTACCAGGTCCCAGCTAGGCCATCT